TTTTTGAAGATGGGAACTACATCAGCTCTTTTCCAGTCCTCTGGTAGTTCCCCAGTGCTCCAGGATCTTTGAAAAATATAGTTCAGAGGTTCTGAGATCATGTCTGCCAGTTCCTTGAGAACCTTGGGATGTAATCCATCTGGTCCTGGTGATTTGAACTCATCTAGGCTGGACAAGTGCTCACTTACCATTTTCTTGTCTATCTTAACTTGTGTTTCTATTCTATTTTTTATGGCACTATTTTTGATAAGTTGGTCTGCTTTTTCCCTTTGTGTAAAGACAGATGCGAAAAATGAGTTAAATGGTTCTGCTTTCTCCCTGTTGCTTGTCACCTTCTTGCCACTTTCACCCACTAATGGACCAATCATTTCCTTCACTTTTTTCTTGTTTTTTACATGTTGAAAGAAGCTTTTTTTGTTATTTTTGACTTTGGTGCAAGCCTTAGTTCATTTTGAGCCTTAGCTTTCCTCACTTCATCTTTGCAGGCTCGGGCTATTTGCTGATATTCTGACTTAGTTATGTGTCCCTCTTTCCACTTTCTATACTTGTCCTTTTTATCTTTCAATTTATCAGAGAGCTCTTTTGCAGCCATGCTGGTTTTTTTTGAAAGCTGTTATTTTTCCTCTTTGTTGGTATTGTGCTAGACTGGGCTTTTATTATCTCACTTTTCAAAATTTCCCAAGCATCTTGAGTTGTTTTCCCCTGGAGATTTCTCATCCATGGAATTCTTCCCAAACCCTCTCTAAGTTTATTGAAATTAGCTCTCTTGAAGTTTCTTATTTGTAGCCTGGAAGGGAACGATAAGCCTGACTGGACCTCACCTGGGACTATTTTCACTATTCACTCTGGCAAAAATGAGAGGGACTTCATCAGAATATAGTAGTTGACATCATAGAAATTCATACTCTCTCTTTCCAGTTTTAGAAAAAGTCAAATAATCCATTGGATGAAATTTAGCTTTTATTATTATAATAATTTGGAATGTTAGTATTTTTTTTTTTTTGAAAAGCATAACACATTCTCTATCAATTTCAGAGAAATTGCCTATATCACATTTACAATTTCTTTTCTGTCTGGGTCAGAAATTAGGCAATTGCTTTTTGGTTCATTTTGCATTTTTATTTTACTTATGTTGCTACGAAAGTCTCTAATTCTGTGTTATTCTGTTAGATTAAAAGATACATTTGTTTGTTTCATAATTTAATATGAACTGGCCCAAATTAAAGTACAACAAAAAGATAATTAACTTTTGCCACTTTATTTTTCATATTATAATTTTCTGATTTTAAACAGTGTATCCAGGATTTCTTGGTTAAATTTGTTTGTTAAATTTATATCGCATTTTCTCCAGAGGCTAAAAACAGATTGGAATGTGAGAGAATTCAATTTCCATAGCTCAGAGTGCATTTGCTTTTGGACCTCAATAGTCCTTGTGCAACACTTTAACTGCATACAAAATACATTACTAAGAAAAACTGCATATAAAAATATGTATGGATTGTTCATCAAAACAAGCCCTAAGACACTTCCAAAAGGTTAAAGTTGTGGAAAACAAAGCAACTTGTTTTGTCCAGCATTGCTACTTGTTGATGTACATTTTGGACTTGCATAGAAAAATTTCACTTTTGGATTCTATTGCAATTTCCTAATCATGTTTAAATGAGATCTGTATAATGAACCATTAAACCAATAAAGCAAAAGTCAGTTTGGGGAATCTTTCTGGCACTTCAATAAAAAACAGATGGGAGTGCTCTGAAAGCCATTCTCCTCCAACAAACTATAACTGTGTGCCAGAATATACCAAATTTGCAGTTCTAATATTAGAAAGTGTAGGCAAGGCACTAAGTTGCTATGGAGACAGAAACCCGCAAAAGCAAAAATTACTGGTATTTCATCAATGTGGTATTTATCTCCAAACTAGTCACTCCAAAGCATTTGCTGCTAACTTTGCATTACCCACCAGGTTCTCAAAGCCTGGGTAAGGACTTTAGGGTTCCACTGTTGGCTACAGTCAGTGATGGGATTCAGCCGGCAGAACTGGTAGTTAATTTTTTGTTGCCCAGGCCCAGAATGGACTTCTGGAAGCAGCATCCACACAGAGAACCGGTTGTTCACATATTTGAATCCCACCACTGGCTACAGTCATGTAAGATACCATTGCTGCTCAGCAATTTAGAAGATAAAACCTAGGACAGGCTTCCATAGGATAAAAAAGATGTATTTTATATATTGAAAGGTTGAAGATGTTTAGGATAGACTTTCCCTTTTACTGTTTTCATCAATGCAATAAAAGCACCATTTCTTCTTAGTTCCAGGGACTCTCAAACAACATATTTCTTGACTTTCTTATAGCATGGCTGACAGATGTGAGTGATACCCAATGAGAAGACTAGACTAGAGGATCTCTAAAGTAAGAGTGGACAACTCAGGATTTCCTGGTTGCATGTGTAGCCCTATGTATTTTTTTTTGTCTGAGCTTAGCCCCAGATTTTTCCGACAAATTAGGACAGCAACTTCTTTTATAGAAATAAAAAGTGATAAATGTACTAAATATTTAGAGGAAGGGACCCTATCCCTAAGCCAAAGAAGGATTTAAAATATTGATTCTAATCCTCCAATGAAGTCACTATGTGGCTGTCATGCTTTTATCCCCCAGAGATCAAAATAAATGAAGAAATAAAAATATGAGGCTCTTGGCTGCAAAATGTTTATCAGTTCAGGATTTAAAATGCTTGCCTCAAGCTCTGGATTTATTTCATTAGAATTTTAATATTCTTTGAGATGGGAATTTAGCCAATAGTTTTGTATGTGTTAATTCTTTTAGTTATAAGTTCACTTTGTTCCCTCCAGTTGTTCATTAACAGCAGTTTAGAAATCATGTGGGATATAAACATAATTTCATCTGAAACTGACCAGCATTAGAGCAGGTGGTTGGAATGGGTTCTTTTTAGGCCCTTTCTATGTATGTTAAATAATAAGATTGGATGGGGGAAGGATTCCATAGTAGCAATGGGAAGCCTGTTTTAGTGAAGCTTTTGAAATGTGTATTGTTATGGTGGACTGAATTTGCAAAGTCTGTTCCCCATGAATAACACTCATTTCCTGTACTTCACCTTCACTCCATTTTTCAAATGACATTTTTAAGGGATAAAAATAACACATTAATTATCCATTCTTCCTCCCCTTTCCTTTTATCTAGAATGCATGGGTGGAAGCAGAAAAATAGGAAAACAGGAAGGGCTGCACAGGATAAATCAGCTTTTGTAAAGCAAGAATGGATATATGTGCTGAGAAAACCACTTCTGTTTGATTTGCAGGAGGGAAAAAGAACTGTAAGTGCAAAGCAATCAGAAAGGGTGTGTGAATATGTGATCACTAGTTTATATAAAGCAGAAAACAGAGGTATCTATTTATTTAGCTTCTGAAATATGAGACAAGCAAAACCTCATCTCCTCTTGTCATTAGAGATGAGCAAATCTAGCCATTTTTATTCCTCTCAGTTTCCCATGTTTGGGAATTTATTAGTAGGGCTTAATATATTTTAATTTCTAGATTTGGTTGTCCCATTCCCATCCAAATTTGATATACTCCCTCTTTTTAAATATATGCATTTGTACACAGTAAACTCAGAGAATTGACAAAATAGAGTAATTGAATTTCCAGTTCGTATAGTGGGTACAAAAAAGCAATATGTTTTGTGATGGTGTTAAAGACATTATTCCAGGATGTAAGGTGTTCATTTTAAATTGTCAATTTAATTGTCAATGCCAGGTAGTGCTCCAGGTGTTTTGGGTTTGCATCCAAGGTAGTTATTACTATTGGTACTATCTTTGTTTTTTTTGCCACAATCTTTCTCATTCTAGTTGTAAGGCTTCATAATTTGTATTCTCTGCTATGGTTTCCAGGTACTGCAATATCCACTGCCCATATTTTTTTGTCTTTCTTATAATTGTTAAGTCTCGGATCTTATGTGGCAAATGCTTATCTGTTTGAATTCTAAAGTTCTTTAGAGCACTTTAACTTCTCTATTTTTTTAATTACTTTTCTATTTTGTGGTCTCAGTTCTAGCTTGCAGGCAAATGGTATTTCTTGCTATTATTATTATTATTATTATTATTTTTGTTGTTGTTGTTGTTGTTGTTGTTGTTATTATTATTATTATTATTATTATTATTATTATATTCTGCAATGGCATGCAGATGATCATCATATTGACCTGCACATGACATACAGAGATAGGGCTTTGCAGTACGTTGGATCTGCTCTCCCAAGGATGCTTTGAGTTGTGCAGGAATGTAAAAGATTTTTGATACCAGAGAAAGCACAGCTGCTTTACACCGATGCCACTACAAGCAACATCTTTAAAATAATGTGATTGAAATTATGCATGACCATTCTGTACACTAATTATGCAGTTTTGAATTGTTTTGATTTTTTTGCATTCTCACTGTTGGTTCCTCTTTGAAAGTAGTACAGCCACACATATTTTATGCATATGTTTTGGCTAGAATTCTATCCATTTGAAAACTAAAACATTCAAGACACTAATGTAGACTTGTTTGGTATAGGTTGATATTCACTGCTTGGTCATACATAGTTTCATTCTCATAAATAAATATTGTTTTGCGATATTTGAATAAGCTACCAAGATATATATCAGGAACAAATCAGCCAAACTACTTCTAATTTCATCAAGCATCAGAGCTCTTTTTAAGCAGAGCACTTTTGTAGATAAAAGCCAGCTGGTATTGGAAACAATTAAAATGTCTGGAGTTCTTCCTTGACTTGAATGGCTTCTTTAGATGTGGAATATAACCATATTAACTAAGGGAAATAAAATGATTGCCAGTTTGTTTTCTTCTTACCACATCTATAGTAGGCCCCTTTACTAACATATGTTTTTAACTATTTCAATTTTAGACAATATCTAAAGAATTACCAAGGTACAGTCTAAATTTCACTAACAGTTCACGTTGGTATTTTAAATGTTTTTACTTGAGATGATGGACCACGCCCTGTCATTCTTTGGGATCCCTCCTTGGCTCAGACAGACAATGAGACACACTCTTCACTGAGACTCACCTGGGAAGCCTACAAGAAACAACTAAAAGAAAAGTGCTGGCAAAATGACAAAGTACCCAAAGCAGAATGGAGATGTACAGATATTCATTACCATGAATGGTCCAAGATGGCACTTCTTGATTTTCTTTTACAGGTGAGAAAATTATGTCCAAAGAGATCTGTTGACAGTATATAAGTTGTTCAGCAGCACATTTTTTTAAAGAAGTAAACCATTTTTTTTATTTATATGACCAACTCACACAGTAATTTTATTAGAAATTCTTGTGGTTATTACAAGAAAAATGGTAATGAGGTGTTGGATTAAGTTTTAGAAGAGATGTTAAAACAATAGTGAACAACCTGTGACCTAAAGTTCCATTGATCTACAAACTTTTAATTTATAATGCCACACATCTATCTCTAATTGCACTTCTGACATTTGGTGGAGCTATTTCGTATTCAAAAACTGCAGGAGGGATCTGAGATGAACATTTTAGCCATTACTCAAGTTGTCTAAGTAACAGGTCAAGTTAGTCCATTCTTCTTTACTGGTACCCAGAGCTTTTTTTGTCATAGAACGCCCAGAACGGAGTTCCGGCACCTTTTTTGGATAGAACCTTGTAGGGTAGGCAAGGCGTGTTGTATGACGTGTGAGTTCTGGCACCTTTTTTTTTTTTTTTTTTTTACAAAAAAAGCACTGCTGGTACCCTTCTGTCATGTGATCTGTTAATTAGGCTATCTCCATCTGGAATTCAGTACTTGCAAGTGTAATTGAACAGATTAATAGCATGTGTCTCTTTTGTGATTTGTTGCAAGTGGCAGTAGTGGAGAGAAGCATCCAAAGAGTCCAGTTCTGTCCTTATGGCCTGCAGTGTTAATAAGTAGTCCACGGAGCACGGAAAATACCATGGCTACATAAAATCTAATAGAAAATCTATACTTCATTCATTTGAGACAGAAGCAGAAGCATATATCTGGAAGAAATGGCTTCATTTTTCCCATTTAAACTGACCGTCTGTGTAGCATAGAAAAAGTGCTTTAAAAAAAACAAAACACCTAAATTGATATATACAGTATAAGGTAATTTATGTAATGCCTGATTGATCCTTTATGAAGTCAAAAGGTGTAGAAGTGACCAGAGTATAGGATATGTTTCTCAGTGGCCTGAAGGGGCCAATAATATATGGGCAGACCCCGGCTATTGACCACCTCATTACAGGTAATCCTCAACTTACAAGAGTTCATTTAGTGACTGTTTGAAGTTACAGCGGCACCGAAAAAGTGACTTATGACCATTTTTCACATGACTGTTGCAGCATCTCTGTGGTCATGTGATCAAAATTAAAATGCTTAGCAACTGACTCATATTTATGACGGTTGCAGTGATCCCCTTTCGCAACCTTCTGACAAGCAAATCAATGGAGAAGCCAGATTCACTTAAAAACTGTGTTACTAATTTAAGAACTGCAGGGATTCACTTAACAACTGTGGCAAGAAAATTTGTAAAATGGGGCAAAATTCACTTAACAAATGTCTTGCTTAGCAACAGAAATGTTGGGCTCAATTGGGGTCGTAAGTCAAGGACTACCAGTATTCACATTGTTGTGGAAGCGTTATAGACTATGTCCATGAGGAAAAGAACTGTGGGGCCAAGAGGCAAATCATTATTATAAAACTAGGAGGGATGAATACAGATTTAAGCTATATCTGCTGTGGCCAGTATGATTACTGATTAAGAGTTTCAACTTAATACTTTTTCATAGATCTGCAGTTGTGATATGTGATGGTCCATATTTACATGCATTTTTGTGGTGCCCCATAAACCTAAAAAGTAACTGTTTATAGGAGTCCATGATTCATGATGGTAATGAAACTTTGTTCAATTTCAGATCTATCATCGCTTGGATAAGAACTGTTGTGGATTCAAACCACGTAAAGAGGATTCCTGTGTCCAGAAAGGGCTAAATCTGCAATGTGATGACCAAGACAACATAGCTTTGACTCACATTATTCAGAGAAAGAATAATCCAAGGCATTTGGTTTTTATACATAATAAAGGTTTCTTTGACAGAAGTGAAGATAATCTGGATTTCAAAATATTACAAGGCATTAATGAGTAAGTTCATTTTCTAGTAAAGGCATTTCAGATTTAAAATATGGTCCACACAATAGCAATAGCCTTCTATGCCACTTCATAGTACTTTACAGCATTCTCTGAATGGTTTACAAATGTCAGCATATTGTTCCCAACTATCTGGGTCTTCATTTTACTGACCTCAGAAAGATGGAGGGCTGAATCAGGATTGAGTTCCTGGTAATGTGCAGGGTCAGCCTGCAATACTGCATTCTAACCATGGCATGTCCACAATTGCTTTACAATGGAATAACCCCATGATTTATAAAATATATAAGAGCTGTTTCTGTAGCAGGGATAGCACTGTATGCCCCTTAATTCTGGCTGTGATATGGACCTGCTTGATTCCCAAAATCTATTCAGATATCAGATATTCAAAATAATTAATATTGCAGCATTCATGAAAAGCTTCAAGAGTTTTTAAATATAAATGGGCAGCAGGGGATAAAATTAAAGAGCTGTGTGTAGCATTTAATACATGAAGAGAGATTGAATGTCTTGAAAATTCACAGATATAAGAAGACATAGTTACCCTTGCCAGATCTTTTTCCTGAGGTGTCTCTGTGTATTATGTTTAGTCACTGCCCTTTGCTGTCTTTGTTGACCATCTCATGGTAGATTTTTCTACAAAGTGCTTCTTAACCTTGTCCCTGTATTCATTTTACTTTGTTTTTTAAAAATCGGGAAATCTTTCACCGATTTTACTATTTTACTACTGGCTTTTCATTCCCCATTAGATTTACCTGCATTATATAGACTGCCCAAAACTTGCCTCATTTATGTATGGTCATAATTTCACTACTGCAAATGAAATAGCAAAGTGGTACTTAAATTAAATTGCATGGGTTTATTCAATTTCAGGTTCCCTGAATTTGCCATTTCTGTGCTGAAAAGTCATCATTTGCGGGAAAAACTGCTTCAGTCATTGTTCCTGGACAGAATTTTTTGGGATAGTCAAGGAGGGCGCCAAGGCATTGAAAAGTTGATTGATGTTGTAGAGCAGAGAGCCAAAATACTTCTCACCTACATTAATGCTCACGGAGCAAAAGTATATCCAATGAATGAATGATTTTGAAATCATTAAAGAGAGAGACATACTGATGAAAAATTTCTTGATATATTTATGTTGTAATTCTATATACTTGGCTGAATGCAAATTCAGTGAACTTTATGAGCTTATTTATACATTTACTCTGAAAAACATCAAACATATGTGAATTAATTATAAGATTTCACATTTTAAAAATACATGTTGCTCTTCATATTTTTTTTAAAAAAATAGATGTTGCTAATGGAATCCCGAGGTGTTTTTGTTTTATAAAAGCATCCTTATCTCCATGGTCGTATGTATTCATATATTTGTATTCAGACATTGGTGCAAAGAAGACTAGTTTTTTCTATTCCTCCTATGCTAATCTCCAGTTACCTGAAATGGTACATTGACTTTGCAGGATCCTGCTGAATAGGATGAGTTTTAATATGGGACAGAGATGATCCCTAAAAACCCCTAAAGATTTTCCTCTGCTTGTTTGATTTTATTGGGAATAAAATAAAACAATTGGAGAGAACATTACACTTATGACAAAAATTGCAACTCTCTATTAATTTCACTGAAATTGTTCTGAAATGGTTCTTACGATAGTTGCAAATACTTGCTTAATTAAAATGCAAATATAGTAGGGGCTTTGCTTTTTCCCAATGAAAATAATTGACCTCAATTAGTGCTGATATTTAAATTCAGCTCTAATATTGTTTAGTAAACTCATTAAATTCTTTCTTGTAATTACAAGAATGTTGTTAAATTTATAAACATATTGTCAAACTCCAGCTCGATTATCCAAATAAAAGTCCAGGATTATTTTCATCTCAGCATTGTGCCAAGAGCATGATTCGTTCTGAAGTCAAGATTCTATTGTACTGTTTAACTAGCAATAAAGTCAAGGAGATGAGTTAAAGAAGGTGCTATGCAGTATGAATGCTGATACTGCATAACAGTCCAATTGATCCCTAGAGCCCAACTTAACAAATAGAATCTCATATCAGTTACTTGTGGGACAGAGCCTCTGAATGTCACCAGGGTATCCCAGGTGACTATAACAATTCCACTATCACTGTCCTGAGATCTTGGTTGATACCACACCCAATCCCAAATGGGCACAGCTCCAAAAGGGAACCCCAATATCCAACAAAGTCTCAGTACTGGACTGTTTTCAGTCAAAGTTCAGGCAGAGCTACAGTGCCGAGATGGCATTGGTCATGCTTGTGGATGACCTCTGGATAAGCTGGGGTGATAGTGTATCCATCCTGTCCTTTCTGGATCACCTGTCAGCTTTCACTATAATCAACTACAATATCCTTCTGGACCAGCTTTGGGGTTGGGAGTAGGAGGCATTGTTTATGATGTTTTCCCTCTTTTGTCAGCAGTTGCTTGTGGGAGAGGGAAGGAAAGGAAAAGAAGTCTAATCCTAGGACTCTGTGATATTGGTGCTTCAGGGAGTTGGTGTCTCACTATTGTTTTTTAATATCTACATTAAATTTCTGGAACAGAAATGGGTGCAATATCCTCAGTATATTGATGATACCAGTTGTATATCTCTACTGGCTGATCAGTTGTATATCACTACTAGCTGATGAGACAATACAATTTTAGTGCTCTTGTACCTAGAGTCTGTAAGAGTCTAATTAACAAGATGGAGTGACCATGGGTTTTGGTATATCTGGATCTGGTGAAGTGCCATCTTTGATTCTTGAAAGGGTAGCATTCCCCTTGGACAGAGCTTGTGCAGAATTTGGGGGCCTTCTGGACTTATAGATGCAGTTCAAGGAACAGGTGGCAGCTGTGGCTAGAGAGTCATTGCATAAATTCATTTTATGAACCACTTGTACTCATTCCGGAATCATGAATCCTGTTTACTGTCACACGTGCCTTGGTCACTTTCCACTTTGATTACTGCAACACAGTCTACATGGGCTGCCCTTTAATAGCCAGAAGTTATAATTCTCTAGAATGTGGTAGCATATTTAAAATTCTGGTTATCACTTTTAAAACCCTATATGGTATGGGGAAAGCTTATATGGATGATTGTCTCCCTTTGAGGGTATCTAATTGTTTACTAGCTCAGATATGGGAGAGGTACTTCAGATGTCCTTTTCCTTAAATGTTGTCATCTAGGAAGTGTGCCTTCTCTGTAGCTGTCCTTGCCTGTGGGAAATCCATTCTCCTGAAATCCAACTAATCCTAACCCTTTTAACAACAAGAACTGAACCCAAGGTTGTGTTAAATTAGGTTGGAGCCCAACAAATGTGAATGTTCTGAGAGAGAACTGAAGAAGCTTCTTGGATGAGAAGCAAAACATTTTCAAAGAAAAAAACCCAAGAAAGTCCAGTTGCCTTTTGAAAAAGCACCTTGAATCATGATCTGGATGATTGAGAACCTCCATAGACCTTTGGAGAATTTGTCTCTTTATTTGACAGAGTGCAATTCATCTTAGGATTGATGTTAATTGAATTGTCTATCTGACTAGTTGGCTGTGAAGTCAGTGAATATGAAGAAGGGCTTGTTTGCTCACTCATTTAGATAAATGTTATACCAAAAACACCTGTAAATGTACCATCTTTTTTTTTCCTGTTCTTTACCGCAGCTATGCAATCTGCTTCTGATTCACAGATTCTTATTCACTATCACCAGATGGACAGTGTTAAACAGTTTTTTTTTGAGGAATAAGAGCTACTTACAAAATAAATATATTAGGGAATTTAATTGTGATAGAAAAAAAGAGATGTAGCAAACAAAATGAATGTGGTATGTTTTTTCATCCTATTTTTGGGATATGTTTAGCTTTCAAAATGTTCAAACATAGACATTTCCATTCTCAGATCACTTAATATGAATGAGTTATTTGCATACACACATTCATGCCTGTGTTCAATCTTCTGAATTTACTTTTAACCAATTATATATTTTGTGAGGAACTAGGTTGATCTGTATTTGTATTAATCTCTCTCTGTCTCTATCTCTGACTCTCTCTCTCTTCTGTATCTATATTTATTCCTTTCTCAACATCAGTTATCATTTTAATGAGATAATATTTTGTAATTAATATGCTGAAGGAAGAATAAGAAGCCAATATAGTTCCAAAACATCTTCATCATATTCCTAAATATTAATACACCTACATATTTTTAAGTTCCACTTACAAGGAAGAAAATTATGCAGCATTATTACAATGCAGCTCAACTATTTGTTAATTCAATGGCCTCATTATTTTGTCTGGGGGTTTGGAATAGACATCCTCACACCCAAGATTAATGTTGACAATCCTGAAATAAATTTAGCGATATAATAAAATGGAATGGTTAATATCATGAATGTTTCCTTGTACTGCAATAATTTTGGAAGTATTTTATTGGAAGATGCTCAGTCTCTGCATTAAACTCCCCAAGCACACATAAGAGGCACTGAACTGGGTCTTCTGAATACATACAAATTAAGACAAATTTGATTTCACTGAGCCAAACACAGCTGGCATGATTGCATAGCATCCACAGCCTTGATGACATCAAAATATGAAATAACTTTTATTGCAACATTATACACAAATACATAAGGGAGGAGTTTATGTTGTGACAAGGCAATGTCTTCTAAGCAAGTTGTAGTAATTTACTTTCATTAGAAAGCATTAAAGGATGATGAATTAATCTATATTGAGAGACATATTATTATTTACAATTTTATTTTATAAAATTCTAGCAGTTTTAACTAAGAAACACTTCTCCCCCCAAAAGCTCTCAAATACAGAGGGGATTATCAAATTATATGTTAACAGTCCAGCTGCTTTTCTTCTGTGTTCCTCAAAGATTTCAAAACAATTCTGAAAAAGGCTCAGACTTCAGAAACAGTTAAGTGTGAATGCAATGCAGACATACAAAAGACTCAAAGATGTTTGGCACTTTACTGTTAAAAATTGCTGAAGGCTGCTTTTCTCTGAACTACTTTAAACATCTGAGTGTTTTTGGAAGGGAACAAGCCACGTGAGAAGAGTAAATGGTACATTTAGAAAGATGGGAAGCTGCCTTACACTGATTCAGACCATTGATCAATTTGACAAGTGTTTTTCACATAGACTGTAGCATGCCAGAATTTCAGGGACAAGTTGCCTGAAAGTGTTCTCTGGAATTGTCAGAAATTGAAACCAGGAGCCTTTTGCATGCAAACTTAAAAACATCTCCCAATCTTTATGGATCAATAATTACATCCTTCATTCTGCCCTATGAATTCTTTACCTAGACAAAAGTATTATTAGGCCAAGCTGCAGAATAGTGACTACTTCTACATCGTTAGGGTAATCAGGTAAGACATCTTGCTAAAGAGGCAGAGAATATATATTCACCTCTTAAGGTGTGGGTATGATAATACAGAAATAGCAATAAACAGGTTCACAAAACATTGATAATCCTTGCTGTTGCTGAGTTATTATTAACTGTATTTATTATTCCAACCATTGTGGCTGTTAAAGCAATCATAGAATAATATTTTCAAAAATTACTGAATTCATAGGAAAGTTAATTGCACACTGAAATGTATGAATCCATAACCTGAAACATTCATGTGCATTTTATCCTAGTATAAATTTATCCTAGTATAAAAAACTGATAATGATTTATTAAATGTTTGAACATTCATATTCTAATTAGGAGACCTCCATAGCCATATTCCCAAGGAGTTGGAACAGTGTTCATTTCTTCTAAGCTAAAGAGATTTTTAACAATTTGAATGGCTCTTTTTGGCATTCCCAATAAGCCTCTAGAAAGAATTTCTATTATAGCAGTTGAAATTATATTAAAATTACTGAACAATATACAATCCTTCCTTTTTCTACTGAGATTACAGCAGAGCTCAAAAGGAACTAAGAAACAGTAGAGCTTTCAGTTACCATTGACCCAACATTTCTTCTTTATGAAAATTGGCTCCATTACAACACTATAACTCCTTTGATTAGCACCATCATCAACAAAATATATAATCAATATACTTAGCTTGTATAAAATTTCACCCCATACATGCACACACTATCATACTCATACACATGTATAGGATTTTGATGTTATTTGTCATGTCAGTGTTTTTTGCATAAGAGAATGAATTTGGGTTCTCAAACTTTTCTTCCTTCTTGCACTTTATAAAAAGGATTGTTTTGTTTGTTAGTGAATAAAAACACTGTGATGCCCATAAGACTGGAAAATAGGAAGTAAAGCCAAATCTTTGATCATACTCAAAAACTACTAAAGGACATTTAACTTGCTGTTTATTAAGATACATTTTTTTTAAAAAATATAATATTTACTTTTTTCTTTCTTTTTAAAAGCATCCAATAAAACTTTTTTCTCCTCCATGGCATCAGCATCTATCAATAATGACAGAGATCTCTAAAAATAGAGCCGAGGTGGCGCAGCAGTTAGAGTGCAGTACTGCAGGCCACTTTAGCTGACTGTTCAGCAGGTCAGCGGTTCAAATCTCACCGGCTCAAGGTTGACTCAGCCTTCCATCCTTCTGAGGTAGGTAAAATGAGGACCCAGATTGTTGGGGGCAATGTAAATATATACATACATTGCTTACTGGTGTACACTGCTTAGAGAGTGCTTGCACTTAAAGCGGTATATAAGTCTCATAAATAAATAAATAAATAAATAAATAAATAAAAACTAATTTATGAGTCTATTTTTCACAAATATGTCTCAGTTATCCATTGATAAAGATTTTGTTCCAGTCTGCATTATTAGATTGAGTTTTACATGCTTTCCCTTTAATTATAATATTTATTTGTTTCTGATGATTTGTAGTTTCCAACCTTCAAAATCCCAATTTATCACGTTGTTTTAATTTTGAATGCAAAAACATGAATAGTTTTCTCATAGGAAGAATTCTTATATTTAATTTCAAAATGGACCTTAATCCATTTATAAATTTCTAAAATCAACACTGTTTTGTTTTAATTCTGAATGTTTAAATCCTTAAAAGAAAAAAAAATCTTCTGAAAAAAACCTTACCCAGTGAATACCATAAAACCTGTTGTTCTGGAGGCTCTCAATTTTTAAAAAGCAATAAACTATTAATTCCAAAATGAATAAGAAATGAAGATCAGAAAAACTTTGTGCCCTTAATGGCTACATTATGCTATGAGTCTGAAGGAATCCCTGACTCCCAGACACTCACCTAACAAGCAGATTGCAAAAACATCAGCTTCAGCCACCTATTCAGGAGGAGCCACTGCCTAGAGCAGGGGTCTGCAACCTTAAACACTCAAAGAGCCATTTGGACCTGTTTCCCACAGAAAAGAAAACACTGGGAGCCACAAAACCCTTTTGACATCTAAAATGAAGATAACACTGCACACACATATATTTTTTACCTTTATGCTATGTATTTAAAAACTATAGCGTGTTGCATTTATGAAATCAATGAACTGCTACAAAGAAAACAAATTTTTATTTCTGCATGGAACAAAAACATTTTGAACTCCCAAAAAAAGATGCTGGGTCGAAGGTTACTTTCAAATAAAATATTCAATATCTATTTGAGTCCTCGTATTTCTGAAATAAAAAGCTGGGGCAAACTATAAAAACTACAAATAGGAAAATAGAAAAGAAAAAAATTACCGGGGGGGGGGAGAAAAAAGGATAGGAGAAAGGGGGGAAAAAACCTTTCTCCTTCATCCCAACAGGTAAAAACAATTTTAATAGCTTTTTTTTAATTCCCAAGTTTTTTATTAATTTTCCAATATTACATTTACATATTTGAAAAGTAGCATGGCGGCTGAGCACAGTAATTCCATTACATTTGAATATCATCAGTACAAATCTCAAAGTATTACAACAACAAATTCTCTCTCTTTCCCCCATAATATCTACTGTCTCATATCGGACCAATACAGTTCTTATTCTATCAATCAGACAAAAAATACCTTTCTAGTATTCATCAATAATCTTCAGTCTATACATATCTTAATTGATTTGACATTCCATCTTTTAGACAATAACCTAGTAAGTTTTTCTTAACTTTAATTTCCCATTGATATTTAAATTTAACGTTTAATCTTTATCATTTCCAAATTTTAAATGACCCCAATTTCTAAGTCTCCTATCTCATATTTGGGGCTAATAGTTTTTTTCTTTTCTTCCTTCTACTTCCTTTCTTCCTTTCAAAAAAAAAGAAAAGAAAAAGAAAAGAAAACAAAACAAAGAAAAAACAAACAAACAAAAATAATAAGCCGTCAGCATTTGTACCACAAACCAATATACAAATTTAATTATTAGTATTTATACTTCTAAGTTTTACTTAATCTTTGTCTCAACTCATAACAATATCTTAAATTCAAATCTTAGTTATTTTTAAACATTTAAACTTTTAGCCAATCAGTGACCTGATAGTTAATTTTTCCTTAATATTTTAATATTAAGTTAAATTAACAATTTTAGTAGCTTATCTACCATCTTTAAATACAGCATAATTATCCCCATACTCTTAATAAAAAAAATCAAAATATTTCATTAAACGTTCTTTACTAAAAGTCCAGTAAGGACAACCACATATATTCATATTCTCTCTCTCTCTCTCTTCTCTCTCTCCTTCCCTCTCCCTCCCTCCTCCCTCCCTCCCTCCCTCCCTCTCTCCCTCCCCCTCCCTCTCTCTCTCCCCGATCTTCTGCTCACCTGGCCAGCCGGGCTCACGCTCTTCTCCAACAAGCTGACACACCGCAGACATTTTTATTGGACTACCTTTACACCAGTGTTCCTCTCCTGCCCTTGCTGTGTCTCCGCAGCCAGTCATTAGCATGGATGATGTTACCTAGTTGGGTCATGAAACATCATGAAAACCAGGCTGGCTGAGGAATTCTGGGAGTTGAAGTCCACAGGTCTTAAAGTTGCCAAGGCTGGGCAACACTGGTTTACACAGTGCATTTCCATGTATCTGCAATGCAAGTCAGAACTGTAGCCATGTTTCTTGCCCATGGCATGGAGGGTTGGCAGCCCACATGGCCTCTCAGCAGCAGGAAGGATTGGAACCTCGCTCACAGAGCAAAGCTTGCAAGTTTCCTTGTGGTCTAACTTGGCACAAAGTCCTTTCACTCTAGAAGCCAGGAGGCAGCGAAGGAAGCTGCTCTGTGCCTGGGACCCTCCTTTTCTGCACCAAGTGTGTCACCACCTGCATGCGGGGAAAACCCAGCACTGGGGACTAATTGTTTACCTCTTTCTGATTCCAGGTTGATTTT